CGTGTAGGGATTCCTGCTTTGAACAAAGGCTGGTAGGATTATATTTTCGGGGCATGTGATACATCTGTGCCTTTTATGAATGCAAACTTTCTTGATCATTATTATCACATGGGTGGGTGAGGGGGAAGGATGTTTGACCTCGTTGGCTTTTCTGCAATTTTTTTGTCTCAGTGAACAGCCCGCGGTTATAGAAGCTGAGGCTCTCGTCCCATGCTCCTTTCCACTATTCTGCTGTCTTTTCCCTGGTCTGTGCTTTTTCGGGCATCCATCCTATCAAGGGGGTTCCTCTTTGTGTCTGCTCTGTGTTGTCTGAGATAGGGAAATGCACACATGCTCCTGGCCGTGTGCACGCTGAAGAAGTTAAAGTCTCTTAAAGGTTTGTTTGGCACTTGTGCTGAGGGACGTCTCAGTAAAAATGTAATGAGGGTAAGGGATATGTTTATGGGGCTGGGAGAAGAAAATTCTCCTTGCTTGATGTGAAAGTTATTCTTAGAAGTACCTGGTCCATAACTGGGTCATGGAGATCCAGCCAGGCTCCTCCTCTGTCTGGAGTAGGCTCTGAGATCTGAGGACTCCTGAGTGGTCCTTGGGCTCTGCGAGAGCCGACGTCCAACTTGTCCTTGTCTAGTGCACTGTCTCTCATAAGCGCTCTGCCAGGGCATCTGACGAGAGCTGTGGGGGACCCTTTGGGCGCAGGAGACTTTGCATGAGTCCCTCCTGCCAACGTCTTTCCTCTGATGTGATAATGTCTGCGCTTTTGACAGGTGATAGCCTTCTGATCCTGCAGAAGGATAAGCATGAGCTGGAGTGAGAGGAGAAGTAGCCTGCTTGTTCTCGTTAGAATATCCTCATCCAATCTGCATATACACAAAGGCGAGGGACCCTCTCCTCCCTCTTAATGTTATTATTTGGGAAGATCTTCATGAAAGCTCGGTGGCACTCTGGGGATGGAAATGATCTCTTCCGTTTTTAATATTGTTATCACCTAGACTGACCCAAATAACACAGGTGTCAGAATTTCACTGCGTTTATAACATCTGGTGGAGCTAAAGTATAAAAAAACCCACCAAGCAAAACAATCCCTCAGATTCATGTTAAAGACTTCAGATGATGTTGACTCCATTAATAAAATAATGTCCTAAATAAGCTGGTCCAATTGTTAATTTCCCAAATTATTAAAAGGAGATGTTGTGGTTTTAAGCTGGAATTTGTCTAGTTTAACTTGAAATCCATTTTCTTGTACCCCAGTCTTTCATACTAAAAAGCTTTCTAGTATCAGAAATTTTTTCTTCTAATTGGTATATAGAGAAATGAGGGTCATCTCGTTCCAGAGCAATCATAAAAGTCTCTAGAACCATACTGTAATACGGGGTTTCCAGATATCAGACGATTTATGGAGAGCTTTTCTTGAACCCTTTCA